TAACAAATGACCTGCTATTACAGGTTTGGTAATCTATAAGGCCTGATAAAAGTCAATAACCCCCAAAATTATGATTATTTTGTAATAAGCCATAGTTGGGATTAATAAAAGTAAATGGTCCAAAGTTGAGATTAATAATACCAATTTCCATTAATATAATTGGGCAAGATAAGAGGAACAAGTAAGAGTTTTATAAGAAATTTTTTTTTTCTTGCTTGGTACATGACATTGCCAAAAGAATTTATGGTTTAAAAGGTGCAAGGGATTTCAACGTTTGATGGATTAATTCCATTCCCCCATATGTAAGGATTAGGAGGAGATAATATTTATCACATAAATTTAATGTAATCCTTACACATGAATATAAGATATAGTGATGGTCACTTTGGTACATACATTAGCATAAACATCAATGTTTTATTTAATAGAGATGACCACATAATTATTAAATGCTTAGAATGACACCATCTTGAAGATGGATATGAGTAAATATCATTGACTATATAACAGTTATAAATGCTCCAATGAACCTAAAGAATGCCTGAAGCGTGGTAGCCCAATGAGTTCCAAAGATAAGAATTTTCAAATAGGAAAGGAGCAATTATTGACAATAATTTTCAAAGAAGAGATTATGTTTAGTAATTTATATGTACCATGATTATATAAAATACTCTAGAAGAGTATAAAATGTCCAACAAGATTAGCATGTATTAAGATTATAATCAATGCTCTAGCAGAGTATAAATTATTATTAGATCAAGGATTAGTTGATTGTCTTGCCAATTGTATAAGGAAATATATGTTGGTGTTCTAATATCACATCATATTCATGGCCATGCATAAAGTAAGTTTAATAAAGTGATCACTAGTGTTAGAAAACTGATTAGTATTTAAATGTAGAGAAGTGATTGGATGTGATAATTAACTTAGGCCATCCGGGTTTGTTAATTATCCGTTATGCATGGAAACTTGAAGTTTCACTTGATATGAATGAAATGATGTGCTGAAGCTATCTCATGTTAGATATATGAAATGAATTAAATGGCAAGACATAACGTTGAGATTGAACTGTGTTTGGATTGTGATTTTAACAGTTTGTTTTGAGGAAATTTCCAAAAGATTTGTATATTAGTTTTGAACACCTTTGTATGTGAACATGTAATAAGTGCCCAGAATTTCATCACAATAGCTTATATATAGCCAAGCATTAGGTGGCTTGAAGCTCGTCAAAATAACTTTATGTGTGGAGATTTTGATTAATTAGAAACTCGCTATTAAAGTCGTTGAAAAACTAGAAGATTACCATCTAATGGTAGTACATACAAGTGATTTTATTAGCAATAACAATCTCTAGATTGGGGCTAACATATGCCAGCACATAAGAAATAGAATAACAAAAGAGACAACTGCACAATTCATGACACCCTATTAAGATTGAACTCCAGAAGAGATAAAAAATTGCATTATTCTCCATAAGAGATGGAAAGTTGTTGAATATGATTATCCTACGAGATGAAATTTGTTGTACTTGAAATTATATTCTAAGTTGGTGAACAATTGCCCCAAAATTTGAGATATTTTACCAACTTAGGGGGAGATGAACCGGAGTAAGTTGGCAAAAAATTACACAAAATTATAATTAGTTGATCCCTATTCCCTATAATGGTATATAAAGTTTCATGCCAAATTGTATATCAAGATATGTTGCACATCTATATCTTGCTAAATTTTATTTGAATCACTGCACCTAAAGTGTAGATTTTATGATCGATTCCTATTTATTTATTTGATGTATGGCAAGAAAGTGCAGTTGACATTTTTTGAAGAGTAACATATAATGTATACATTAATACCATGCATGGTTCATGATAGATATCTGAATTATAACAGATGGCCTGCGATATCATGCATGAAAAGTTCTTGAAGAACTAATACATGGTGGATTTATATATGTATAGCCCTACAAAGTTTGTGTATATTACAATATTGATGATTTTATCACACTCTTGAAGAGTATTTATGAAATGAAATATTGACATCTCAACTTGAAGTTTGAGTATGTGGGAGTCAAAGTAAGATTATCATTTGTATTCGCAAACTCTCATATCAACCACTCTCATACCAGTCTTGAAATGTCTAAAGAATAGCAATGAGATATTTATGTGTGAGGGTGTTTAATTTAATCACGTGTTGCCATCAAATTATTATTAATGAATTTTTTTACAGTACATGATATGACCTCCGGAAGATGGCATTAGTTTACTGTTTAAGGCAACTTTAAATAAAGATTTCAAATGATATAGAAATAAACACATGTATTACTATCATAAGTATGGCGGAATGAAGACACTTTGCATGCTCCACGTGAAGACTTGAAGATACAAATTCAATTTGGGAGGATCAGCTATAAAGAAATATTATTCTGTTACAAATGAAAAGTTACACAGCGACATTAGATTCAATGTAATAGAAGATCTCAAGTTATGTATTTTATCAGGGGGAGAAATTACGCGCTGCACTCGTTTTCCCTTAACCATGGTTTTGTCCCACATTGGGTTTTCCTGGTAAGGTTTTTAATGAGGCAGCATTTCGAGTGTATTACAAAGAATGTTGTACTCTTTTTCTTTCATTAGGTTTTTATCCCAAAAGTTTTTTCTTAATAAGGTTTTAACGAGGCACAATCTTCGATAATGGACATCCAAGGGGGAGTGTTATGAAATATTGTGTGGATATCCATTATCCTCCTTGTATCGATCCGGAATATTTTAGATTTAGGGTTTATTGTTATCTAAGCAAACCCTAGTTATGTTGTATGTATATATATCCCCCAATCTATATAATAATTGATTGATCCTATTCTCTCTAAATTCTCTCTGTTTTACAACACTTAGGGCTGTTTATGAGATTTCAAAGGCTTAGGGCAAACTAATATATGGGGGCCCTATATGTATTTATTTATTTTGTCCAATCATTAGGAACTTATAAATTTAATAGTATGTATTTGTATTTTATTTTTTTGAATAATAATAGTATGTATTTCTTTTTCTTATGTAGGAGGAAATTTCTTTTTATTACTTGAAACAAATAATCGAATTTTATTTAGTTGTTGTAAAAATAAAAACAAATCGAATTAAAAAATTGAACTATATATAGGCTACAAATGTAAAGTAATATTTTCTTGTTATATTATAGCATATATTTATTAAAAAATGTTATAGAATATAGACTTAATAAAATAAAATAATGTACAAATTTAATTCGTACAAAGGTAGTCGACAACCTATGCAGATACAATTGTCTAACTCATCTCTTTAACAAATGATATTGGTCACTAATCAGTTCGTTATCTTAGCAATTTTACTTTATTACAAAAAATTTGGGTACAATATTAAAAATAAATAATAGAAAATGAAAAATGTTCTCCACTAGTTAATTAAAAATTGATTTATTAAACTAAATGAAATTTGATAGGTAATACTTTGTATTGTACTATACGTAGTGAAATACTTGTACAAATTAAGGATATGATAGAAAATGAAACAAGAAATTATTTTCTTGATTAAGATAATAAAGAAGTCCTAGGAGAAAGAGTTGAAAAAAAAGTACCTTTTAGTTTAGGAAGAATACTCCTGTAATATTGAAGCCAAGTATCATTGAAATCACGACCTGCCAGTTAGCAAGATATGTGTAACTCATCAAATAAAAAGATCCAACAAGCCACGCTCACAAAGTCACAATAATATTATCATGGGTAACCTAATTTTTTATAAAACTACATATGATTATTGAATAACTTAGAAGTTAACAAAATTTGGGCCTTATTTTCCGTGGGCCATGGGCAACCGCCCCGGATGCCCTGAGTCAAATACGGGCACATACTTATATATTGGAATAACTAGTTTCTGGGACTATAAGATCCCTTGGTATTAGAATGCAATGTTTTTTTTTTTTTTTTTAAAAAAAAAAATTAATCAACTAGTTTATTTGAGCAATCATAGCAATCTTTCATGTCTTGCTACTATCATCTTTACACCAGAAAAATTGTCCTTAGTTCATGTCAGAATTCAACATTGTTCAATTCTTAAATCTAGATTATTGGGTGATTTAGGATACATAATAAAACCTCTACTGCTCTTTCTTCCAATTTCAGTTTTTCATTGTATTGGTATCTGTTCACTTGCGTTCTTTTTTAATGGTCTTTGAATTGGCACATCATCTTAGATTGCTAGCAAAACTTGTGTTAATACTTTGTTTGTAGTAAAATGGGTTAGATCTGTTCGTATTTATATCCAAGAACACAGAATCTGAACCCTTGGGCCTAATAATGCATATATTATAAACTAGCAAGGAATATCTATAAAGATCAATGAAGAGTATATGTACCATATAAAACACATTATGCATTCTTAATTCCAAGGGTTCAGATTCCGTGTGCTTTGATGGAAATAGGAATGCTTAGAAAAGAGCCGAGCTATTGTCTTTAAATGAAGCATAACACAAATTCTGCCAGCAACCTATGACATGTTTTGTAAACCGACATACACATGAAGAACAGAGCAATGGGCCAATGGCATTTTGGAGGAAGAAATGTCAGAGTTTTAAGTCCATGTTCCTAAAAATCATCTAATAATTCATTGAATTATTGTCATCAGAAAAGATCATATGAAAAGATCATCAAGACATTGCCATAATCAAATAAGCTAGCTGATATATTAAAAGACACGCAGCCAAAATAAAAGCAGGACACAAACATTGTACTTTTGAGTTCATGTAATCATATAATCATATATGCATCAGATTCTAAACAATTATGCAGCACATAAACAATTAAGCAGAAACCAAGAAGTGAAGTAAATTGGCGTACATGGATTAAAGTATAGAAGACCAGCCTGCGAGTGACCCAGCATCTGGTGTTCGCATACACCACAATACATACACAATATAGTTAGTAGAATCAGTCGCCTGACCATTCAATCCACATCATTAACAGCATAAGACCAACAAATTTGGATAAAGTCTACTTGCATATGACAAACTGTAATAAGTCACACCATTGCTTCATTAACTAAAGCAAAAGGCACATAACAGATACAAAAAAAATTGACAATCAATGTTACTTGGACATACAGTTTATTGCATTTTTAAAAACCCATGTCAAAACCTTGACACTTCTACATGAGTATGTACACTGAACACTTCAACGAGCAGTAAAAACACGAAAATGATTTCATATAAAAGGCCAAATGTAACACTAGTACTTGAGACCGAGTAGCATAGTTAGTACTATGAACTCTAAGCTAGCACCTCTTCATAGATGGGAAGCTTGTAAAGCTCGTGACAAACCGCTAATCTTCTTAGCTTTCTGCTTCTTTTGCTTCTTAGTCAATGATTTTTGCTTCATCAGTACCCTTTGAAGAACTTGTCTCACATCCCGGTTTCCATAATCCTCGCGGCTGAATCATCAAAGAAAGCGGCATGAACAAGCCTTAACTTATCCAATGCTCTAGCTAGCACCCCATTTTCCTCGCTTTCATCCCCATTCAACTGAGACCAAGACAGCCGCGGAGGGGAAGCATCATGAACTTTATCCTCAGGACTAAAGTAAGAAAAGTAATTATACGGAGTTATTTTCAACAAATTCGTCTTATGATCCTCCCACACGTCTTCATTATCATCCATTACCACTACAACTCGTTCATGTTCCAAGACAACATCCAAAAACTTCTTGTGCTTATCTAACGCCACACAATCATCCCTCGAAATTACCCTCCAATTTTCAAAATACCTCCCATTGGGATCGAGCAATTTCGCCATACTCCAAGCATAAAACTTACACCCTAGAGTATGTATCGTCATGTCAAACATCGTGCTCGCCTCTCTAAGAAAATCACGTACATACGGCCGTAATTTTGTCCACCCACCACCAGCTTGAAACAATGTACCTAATTTCCCTGGCAAATTATAATCAATTCCGTATCTTCTTGTTCGAACGAAATTCCTATCTTCGGGACTTAATTTGTACGTCTTTCGTGTATGAACAAGTGTATGATCCAAATCAAGAACTAAATGAAGCTTTCTTCGGGATAATAATCTTTGCAAATTGGTATCACGAATACAATTAATCTCTTTAAAACTTAGATTTAAATCAGGGTAAATATACCACAAGGGTATGGTAGAAATTGTACCGTTGATTTCTTCGCCACATTTAGTGCACGTATTTCGTATTAAAACAGGATGTGAGCACATTGTTGCACATTGTTGCAGCGCCATCCTTTAAGCTCCCCCAAAATGCGCGATCCACTATCATCACATCACTGTTAAGTACAGTGACTGCAAGGATTGAAGATTAGGCTCAATCATGAAACCTTTGATCGCGAATTCAAGGTTGATTGTGTCCCATTGACAGTGCAAAGAACATTCTGCCACACCAATAGAGCCTTTTGGCTGTGTCTTGAACTCACCTAGGGACTTTAAACCATTCATTTCTTGGTTTGTCATTCAAATTTTGCTTGAACTCTTGAAATTTGACATTAGGAAGGAGAAGTAAAGAACGGACGTCTACTGATCCCGAGTCGTTGTCTAACATGGCCACATAAGTGAATGTGTACGTTACATTTGGAGAGAGGTCTTCAACCTGAAATTTCCAGTCACATGAAGCCAGGATGCTGAAGATGTTGGTTTCACCACTTTAATTAATGCATCTCTGCAGCAATAGAACAACAGAAGTTATAGTTACTTTAGATTTCAACCTTACAATGAATATCCTTCAATTCTTCCTTTTATAGATACCTGTCTTCAGTTTCAGTCCATTCGCAGTTATCCGTGCAAGTATCCGAATCCCAATCTGGCAAACCATCATAATCTACTTTTGTTGTTAGGGAGAGCCCTGCCACATACACCATGAAGCAATTATATTGGCTGTCCTTCTGCTTCTTAATCCAGAACTTCTGTTTTTCAATCAATAACAGGCTCTGAATTAACAAAACATACACCATCGAAAACCTTAATTTCAATGATGGGTTGGCTACATGAAGATGGAATTTAAATACTCCTTCCGAATAATTGACACTTTTGTATAACTAAGTTAGTAAAAATACTAGTGAAAGTAGTGAAAAAAAGTCAAACGTGTCAATTATTCTGAAAGGACCAGAACAAAAGTATGTTAGCTATCATTTTAAGGGGGAAACAAGTAAAAAATTTAGGAGTTGACAGTTTGAAGCCTGTCTAGTATTCAGAATAATCGATGAACTTGCCTTATTTTTGTTGCTCGGAAAGATCCCAGCAGTGAGCTGCACATAGAGCTTGTGAATGGAAGACATGTTAAAGTGGAGTGTCACAATGCTGAATGATGGCTCCAAAATTATGAGGCAGCCAAAGCCTTTGTTGCGACCACCCATACACGCTAGCTTGTTCGTAAAATTCTTTACTCAGTCCAAAAAGCTCAAGTTGTTGGAGGGTGGTGAAATACACCAAACCATGAGGAAACTGTAGTTTTTGACAATTTAAGATCTCAAGCTTCTTAAGGCTAGACATCGCCCCTTCCTTTATCTTCCACATGACCAACTTCTGAAGGTCGTCAAGGTAGATTTCCTCAAGCTGAGGAAAGGAACCTAGGTTGCAAGTGAATGTTGTTCCTGTGTAAGAATTCGACAATCTTAGGAGCTTCAGGTGGGCTAATGATCCAGAAACTACCATAAGATCCTCATTCTTTAGAACACTGTCCTTCAATTCCAGTGCTAAAAGATTAGATGGCAATATCAGAGACAGCTTCTGTACCTGAATTTTTACAACCAATACTAATTTACGTAGGTGTTGATTCCGAGAGATAACGTTATTTACATGTTTTAAGGCTACTCCAACACTCCATTCACAGTGGAATGTATGAAGCCGATCAGACTTAAGGCTCTGGCAATCGAAGACGGCTTCCAAATTCTTTTCAGTTGACACAACCACCTTCAGCTTACTTAAACTTGGGTTTAGTCCAAGCATCACTCTTGAAAACCAATCACCCCCTCCACATTTAACACCCCAGAGTATTTGCAAGTTTTTTAGAGTACTCAACTGTAGTTCTTTAAGAGTCCAAGGGCAATTAATTGGCAAAAATAGATGCCTTAGTAGCATAAGCTTGCACAAGACATTAGGAATTTTGACAGTTTTATCAGAGCAGTCAATATTCCTGTAGTCCAAAGTCAATAAATTTCTCAACTTCCCAATTGATGGGGGGAGGTCTGTGATATTAGATGCCCGAATTCCCAAATACCTCAAGTGTATTAACCTCCCGATTTCTGTAGGTAAAGCTCCGGTAAGAGTCTTAATGCCCCAAAGATTCAACAATCTAAGCAATTGGAATTTTTGATCAAGAGTATTCAATTTTAATGTCTCTTTGGATCCATAGGCAGAGTGCATTACACTAGACCTTGTCAATAGTATAAGTGACCTCAAATTTGAAGCTTGTGTAGGAAAACATGTGATGGAAAAGTGTAAAGAAAAAGAGCAAATTAACCATGTTTTTATATGTTTAATACATGATTTATATACATGTCCTTGTTGGAATATAGTAATATAAATAGATTATAAGATATAAGACATATATAAATTCCATTCTAGAGAGGTCTTTTTATATGCCCAAGTAGATAAATATGTTACCTGGAATGAAGAGCAGCTCTCCGTGACTGCAATGCTATTTGAGATTCACCAGTTGGAGCTCAAACTATTGGTATGAGTATTACCTTGAAGAAAACATTGTTCTCTGGCCTTTCTGACACAAACTTCGCGCAATAGATCATGCAAGTGAATTGCTTTGATGACTCCCTTGCAGTTAGTCCACGCTACTTGAATCATGAACCGGTGACTCATTTCTTCTAAACGCTGCACTGCTACATCTTCAAGGGCATGTCTTCACTTGCAGAGACAAATCCCTCAGCAATCCACATTCTGGTTAGCATTCCAGCTGGAATTTGGCAGTCTTCCGGAAAAACACCCAAATAAAGAAAGCAAGGCTTGAGATTTCCCGGTAGATCATCATAGCTCAGGGCGAGCATATCCCCTACTTTACCATACATATGTGTGCATGTACCTTCCATTACCCTTGACCGTACAGCTTCATTTACCTGTTGCCATTCCCGAATGCTTCTTTTTGTATTCAAGATCCCAGCCAATGCTACTATAGCCAAGGGAAGTCCATCACATTTCTTTAACATTTCCTTGCCTAGTTTCTCATAACTTTCAGTATTGCAATCAGTATGATAATTGAAAGCGATCTTGCAGAACAATACCCAACTATCTTCCTCGCTTAGAGGCCTTGGTGCATGGACATATAAGTTCCTTTGGAGGTTCTGGAATCCAACTACTTCCTGGTTTCATGTTATGATAATAATTTTGCTTCCTTTATTATTTCTCACCCTTGGGAAGGCGGGGAGTATTTCCTCTAGTGCTTCTTTCCTCCACACATCATCCAACACCACCAAATACGATTTCTTTTCTAGGATGCTTCTGAGCTTGTCCACTAGCTCATCCACACTTGAATTTGCATTCAACTTGAACAACTCCATCGGGTTACTAACTTTCCTCAATATTTCGGATAAAACATGTCCGGTGCTCCATTCTTGGGATATATAAACCCAAGCACAACAATCAAAGCTTTCTTTAGTATACGGATGGTTGTAGAGCTTCCTAGCAAGGGTGGATTTCCCTGAGCCACCCATACCTACAATGGAAACAAAATTTACTTGAGTTTTTCCTTCTCCCATCAACATTTCTACCAAAATTTTCATGTCTTTCTCCAAGCCAACTACAAACTCACCATCATCATCATCATCATCATAGGGGTAGCTTTGTGGCTTTTGTTTAAAATGTCTTTCACGATTGCTTGACGATCTTAAACCTTCCTCCATTGTGATTCTTCTTATCCCAAAATCAATTAAACTATCAGTAATACGCTTCACATTACTCTGCATTAATCGTATCTGCTTCCCTATACTGTAGTCTGTAGGTCTGAGGCGCAGTATGCAGGAAGCACGTAAATTTGAGGAACCAACCCTTATTTCCTAGGACACCAAACTTTGCTGCGACTTCAAGGATGTAAGTATCAATGACATCCTCAGCATCATAAGCAAGATTCCTAATTTGCCTGATCAAAGTCTGAATTTCCTTTATTTCTTGCTTTGCATCAGCATCTTGTAGATATTGTTGCATAAGCTCAAGGTCCTGTTGTAGGCCTCTTACTAGGTCTTCTACTTCAAATAACAGGCTTGCTTCTTGGATTAGCAAGGACCCAATCCATTGAATAGCTGAATCTACAAGAGATGCAGCCATTTTACAGCTACTCCTGTATGTACATGCCCTTGTCAAAATGAGTTTTAAGTTGGCATACTGCCATACTTTTGCATCACATAATTATCATGAAGATAGACCAGAAATTTTCATCCCTTATGCATAACTAAGCCTGATTAATCTTTTATCTAAAATATACTGCCAATGCACCATTAAAACTTTCAGCAAAATTAGATATGTAACTTACTATTGATATCATACACAATTTAATAAATTGTTGTAGAATGTGAGTGGGTGTAAGATCAAGTCAGAGAAAGTTTAAAAAGGTGGGTTTGTGTAAGAAAAAGGTGAATAAAGTAGGGGGGAGAGAGAGTATGGAAATATATAATTATTGTGCGGTTGAAGGAATAAAATAGTAAAAGAGGTATGCCATAACATAAAAGGACATCCGACAATGGAAAGCGAGTAGAACAAAAGAAAAAAAAAAGGACGTTTTTGGTTACACATCAAACAAATAATCAAAATTACATATGATTAATATGAATTTGATTATGTCCAATCTGTTCTGTAAATGCTCACTTGCTCAGGCTGTTTCAGTTCGGTTCAAATCATGCTAACAAACTGAAGCTTATTAAGAGTCCCGGCTAGGACTTGTTATGCTTTCACTTAAGAATTCGTAACTTGAAGAAACTTAACCAACCAAACAATGCATAGAAATCAAAGCTATCATCAAAATAAATAAAGACAAGAGGAGTATATTACTGAAATACAAAGAAATTTGAAGGTCATGTATATCATAAAACACAAAATATAATACGAGAGATCAAAACATATTGAGAGTAATAGTAAACTTACTACTCGCCAGAAGAGAGATGAATAGGTAGATTGATATCTACATTTGTGGGATTTTCATCAAAATTGTGCAGCTTCCTAAAGGTCAACAAGGTTGACGCTATAGTTTGATTCACACTACATAATAGTCAAATCAGAACTATACGGCCCATTACCTTATTAATGCTCCCTCTATTTAATCAGGATAGTGACATTATCCTAATCCTCATATAATGAAGAGAAACACACAAATTTACTCCACCTTTTCTTTTCATCATAGTTATGAGTTTCCTTAATTTCCTATCTCCCACTATTTAATATTTGTAAGTAATAATTATTATATTCATCAATAAATGTGTTTTAGTCAAATTACATTACCGTCATTATTGCATTAATAATCCCACATGAATTAAGGAATTAGTTTTCAATGTATTTGGGTAACCATTATAGTTAAGCTTGTCCTATCCGTATAAGTCCAAGGACACTAATTAAATTTCTAAAAAGGTCTCAAAAGACCCAAATAAGCATAAAAGACACAATTAGGGCTCCGAAAACCATCCATGTATGTACTACTGTACATACCCCTCAAACTCTTATATCCCTAAGATGACCATCCTCTTTCTCTGTCCCCAAAATACTCTCAAGTATTCATTGTTTAGCATCTTACTTGACCGTCTGAGGCTCCGTCGTGGGCTTGCATTTTGCAAGTCCACATGAGGCCCATATCCGAAGCCCACGAGCAGCCTGCCAAGACCCAGGAATTCACTTTTTTGTCGAAACACAATGTATCTTATCCAGTGGCGGACCCACGTGTAGTCATAGTGGGTCCGCGGACCACCTATTATTTTATAAAAAAAAAAACACTATG